ACTTCAGCCAAGCTGAGCATAGACACTATGTAGAAGAGGTACAGCGCTCCATGCCCATGACACTGGGAAGGTGTGTGGTAATGGGTGTACAAAGGATCCCCGGTCACTCTAAACTTGTTACCACAGTAGTAATGTTTGCCGCTTCATTTCATTAGAGAATTTCTGAGCCTCTCTGGGGCTCCGAGAGGGCAAGTGACTCTTTCAAGGCACACAAAGGGGCTAAACTCCAGGCTACATGCCCATATGTCCACTGCAGAGATGGCGGGGGAGGGGATCATGACTAACTGCCTAGGTCTTCATTCTCAATGATCCAGGGACACCGCAGCAAGCTGCATCGCCAAAGGTTGAACAGGCAGGACACTTACCAGGCTCTGTACCCACTGCCATCTCCCAGGATGCTCTTTTCTATGTCCCTTCCTCCTAATGGAACCCCTAGGGATCCATGTTCCCAGAGAATTCATCCCTGGAAGGGACGCTGCATCTGTTTAGGCAACTCTATAACCCAGGCTTTTCCACTCAAGTCAAGGATATTCCTCATGTCCATGGGATGTGAGTTCCTGGTTCAGGGTCCCTCGTTAGCTTGGCTCCCCCTCACTCAGGCTGGCAGATGGCTTTCTTCCAGGCACCAGCAGCACCCCCTCTACATCTTTCCTCATCCTGGGATCCTTGGGCAACAAAAAGCATCAAGGTTTTCATAGTGGCAGTCACCAGAGAGGTCACTCCTTTGTAGTCGCTGTGAGCTGCTTCTCCTCTCCCAGTTCTGAGCTATTTTTAAACCTCTATTTTTAAGAAGGACCTTACTTCCCATATATACTGCTTGATCAATAAATAAGGGCCTGCCTGGGACTAATTGAGACTCTGACTTCTTCATGGGGCAAGAGAGGCTTAGGGAGGGAGATGGTCTCGGCAATTCTGCTCAACTGTGGAACATTCCATTTCGAGGCCAGCCTCAGGCTAGCCTCAGCAAAGGGAGATTGGCAAGCCAGGCCTGAAGGCCTGGCGAGTCACTGGATTGAAAACACAAAGCTTCCACTTGCTTGGGTTCATGTCACTTGACCTCCTGGGATACTGGTCCCAACCTTAGCAGATAGCCTGGGTCCAGTTCAATGAATACATACAAAGTCAAACGTAAGAGATATTGCCTAGAAGCAGGAGGGACCACTTACCTCCTAGTTCCTGGTGACAGGCGTGAGGCATATGACCACTAAGGATAAACACTATCCTCAAAGAGTACCAACATGTGGGATTGGGGGTGGGGATCACCAATCCTCAGAGAAAACATAGGCTCTGGGAGATGTTTTAGTAAAGGGGGCTAGAGCTGGGGGCAGAGAATTCAAAACGGCACAGCCCCAGAGTGCACTTTGTTGGGAGACGAGGGTGTGGGCTGTCCATTACATCTTCCATGTTCCTCCACCCTTCTGGACCTTACTCTTGACAATCGGAAAAAAAAAATGAAAGAAATAACACCTACCTCTGTCAATGTCAGCTAAAGGCAGTCAAGATGGCGTAAGTCAGCACCCAGCAGGCTGTGAGTGCTCAGTGCAAAAAAATCGCAAAGTCCTTGGAGGGGGATGGGAGGGTTAAATCATCAGACTCCAGCAACCTGTCCCTATCCCATCTGCTCCACCCCTCCACCCAGCCCCAGACACCGCCCCTTAGGCTTCCCCCTCCCACCCGCTACTTGGCAGGTGGGTCTCCAGATTCCTGTACACTTTGCTCTCTCTCCTCACGTCCCCTCTCTGCTGAAATGTCACCTACTCAGGCATGCCTCTGCTGAGGCTCCTTTAGAAATGGCCGCCCACCCCACCCATACTCTTCAGCCTCTCACCCCACCCTCTTGCCAGCACTTCCACCATGCAGCTGACTGCTTTTTTGCTGCTTTCGCATAACGCTGCTCCTGAGGGAGCAAGACTGTTTTTTTCCCCTCCCAGTTTATTCTTAGCTAGATCCCCAATGATTCTCAACATCAGGCTGCCTTGCTCCCCAGGGAGTATCAGGCAAATGTCTGAGGACAGCCAGGTGTGTAGATAGATGAGGGCTACTGGTATCTAGTTGGTGGAGACTGGGGACATCCTGCAATAGGCAGGTCAGCTTACTTGTCACCAAACACTAGGATACCCATCCCCCAAAGCCAAGCATACCATAGCACCCCTGCTGCTTAGCTCATTGGTTGGCAAAAGCACCCTGGGTGTTCATTATGGAAGAACAAAGATATGCCAGCACCATCAAGATTATATATAAGGATGGCTGTCCCTTGCACTGGGGCTGTAGCTCAGCTCAGTTGGCAATGTGTTTGTCTACCTTGTATAAGGTCCTGAGCTTGATCCCCAGCACTGCATAAGGCAAGCATGGTGGTATATGCCTATAATTCCAGTACTTGAGAGGCAGAGACAGGATAAGGAGTTTGAAGCCATCCTCAGCTACATGAATAATTTGAGGCTAGCCTGTGGTACATGAGAGCTGGGGCTTTATTAGAAAACCAGAAACAACAGAATAAAGCAAGCAAACAAAAAGATGTGTAATGGGAGTGCAAGACCATAAGGACACTTTAGTGGCCCATTGTGTCTCCTTTCTGGTTGTGACCCTGCCCTTTGGATTACTGGGGTGGGCTGCAAACACTCTTCTTTGGATTAGCATAAGCCAGGACTGGGCAAAAGTGGGAGTGATATTCACAGATGTAAGTGATGCTTATCCACCCCTCCCCCAGTGAGGCTAGCCCATGGGCTCTCTCAGCAGGGACATTCCCCAGTTCTCCAGCATGCCCCACACTGAGACACACAGAACCCCACAAGCCATTCATGCTGACTCCAGTGGAATCCCCTGTTCCTTCAGCCTCCACCAGCCCGGGAGCCATGTCGGGTATGAGTGAACGACTGTTCCTGCTTCTCTCCGGAGAGGTGACATAAGGGGCAGGGTGTGTGTGTGTGTGAGTGTGTGTGTGTGTAAATGTAAGGCACTGATGTCCTTGTTCTGCTGCCCCAACTAACAATGTAAACAGCCAGAGCCGCAGCCTAGGTTTCCAGTCAGTTGTCCAACACAGGTTTCCTTAGTAGGCACCCACTTCCTGTTTCCACAGAGAATCACAACTGAGGTTTAGCCCTTCCCTGTACATCACCTGCTGTCTGCCTTCCCAGCCTGCCTTCCACCCAGGGTACTGGGTCTGTTTCTGGGGACCATACAGTTAGCAAAGTTCCATCTTTTCTCTCCTGCACCCCATCTTCCACTTCTGCTCTTCTGTCCTTACCCTCTTTTCTTAAAGGTCCAGAATGTCTCTAAACAAGCCATTGTTGGGAAGGTTTAGTGGCTGACATAGGTTACAGGCAGGGTACTAAAGGAATAAACTTCTCACGGTAGAACATTAGACCCCAGATGGCAATACTCCAGGAGAAGTGGATATTTGGTGAAGAGGAGATTTATCAGTGCCTCTAAAATCATATCCAGTTGTTCCCCAGTTCTGCCAACATGTACGACTAGTACCAAACTCAAGATGGAATGAGACAGGCATGTGGTGAAGGACCAGCTGGCAATGACCCAGGAGTCTGCAAAAAATGGATCAGAAGCCTGGGGGGGGAGGGGGGATGATAGCTCCCCCTAGAGGCATGGCTCCACAGTTACAGCTCCTTCATCCTCCTTTGGGAATCTAAACTCTGCCAAAGCTTCCTCAAGTTCTAACACTCAAAGCACATTCTCCTTCTTGGAGAACTAATTAGGCTTCCTCACTAGGTGGCCACCATCCTCAAGTCTGGTGTCTGAAGAAGCTGAGGCAGCCCTGGACATTTCTGCAAATGGATACTGTCACGTGTGACCTTACTTTGTTCTCATAACTGACAGCCCAGCTTTACAAGAGGAGGAAGTGGAGCCTCCGGGAGGTTCTGTGAGTTAGCCAATGTTACACTGTCAGAGGGTGAGCTACTGGGGTTAGAGTCCATGTTAGCTATCACAAACTAAGGTCAGCCTCTTCCAGCTGGATGTGCACAGTGCAGCTACCATGTCTCCAAGCCCTCTCCCAGATCATGAAATCCCGATGCCTCCAACCTGGGAATGGTTGGGATTCTTGCTTTCTGTGTGGCAAGACCAAACAGAAAGCTATCCATTCCTAAGCAACCTTGAGAACCAGCCTTGAGATGGGACTCTCTCAGCAACCATGGGAGTTCTCACCTAGGTACCTGGTACATTTTTAAAATCCCTGTTCAGCCCTAAGATTTGATTTCACTTTGAGACTCTTCATATGCTGCAGTTTCATCAATTGCCAAGACAGGGTTCCAGTAAAGAGACCAAGTCATTAAATGGGGCACTTTCGAGTGGCTAAGGAAAATATAGGGTATTCCTGGGGGTTGGCATCTCACACAAAGCACAAAGGGGATCCCCGTGTCTTATGCCATTCCATCACGGACCTTTATCAGCTTTGGGGCTTTTGGCGAAGCCCCTTTCTCCTATTAGCCCTCCCCAGGCATCATCCTGTCGCCTAGAGCAGACAGGAGGAAAACAATATAGGCGGAGCAGATGTCCTAAGATGGACTGGTAAGCTGCGGATGGGCAAGACCACTGGGAAATGGTCCAATCACAGACCCTGACAGCCTAGGGGACTTTGGCCCTAAGAGACCCACAGCCCAGCTCAACAGGTGGCAGAGGGCTTTACTCTCCCGCATCCAGGTCATTTCTTCCAGTTTGACTCAAGTCTGTGATGGGAAAGTGTGGCTTTGGCTTTGGAGTGGGCAAATTGCTCGGAAACATTGGCAAAGAGGGGGCGATGATCCCCAAGTCCCTACACAGAGGGAGAGAGGGAGAGAGGGAGAGAGGGAGAGAGGGAGAGAGGGAGAGAGAGAGAGAGAGAGAGAGAGAGAGAGAGAGAGAGAGAGAGAACGCACGCCCCACCCTACCCCTGGCTACTCAGTAAGGAGGCCAGCCCGATGCTGTAGCGGTGCCACCACCAGGGATCATCGCTTCCCGGACCCCCGACAAGGCTTGTGTCTATCCCTCCTGCTCATCTTTGCTCTTACCTCACGGCCACGACTCCAGACTCGCCTGGAAGTCCCTTGTGGGCTGCGCGCGGTGGAAGGTATCGCGCTGCCTGCCGGACGCCCGCCCCGTCCGGTCCGCCGGAGCTGCTCTGCGCCAGCTACCGTGCGGGTGGCCGCCGCTGGAGCGAGCACCGGACTGGAAGAAGGCGGGGTCTGGGGCGGGGTCTGGGCGGGGCCTGCCTTCCCTATGCAGTCAGTTGCGGGTGGGCTTTAGGACTGAAGGATGCTGTCTTCCACCGAGAGGAGAACACTTGGGGTGGCGATGCATCCTTGTGAAGGCTGTAGGTGAAGACTTTGGGGTTGTCGTAGAAGGGAGGCTTTCTAAACCAAGAACACCTGCCTTGAGTCAGAGTCATCTTCCCGTGGCGGCTGCTGCAGTCAGTGATGGAGAGAATATTCTAGCACCAGCCAGTTGTTTATTGAGTTCTGAGGGTCAGGCACTGGTCAAAGCGCTTTTCAGGTCTCCGGCCATTTGACCCTCACAACACTCCCATTTCACGGCTGCCAACGGGGAGGCTCAGACCCAAGGGTGTTCCTGAAGGCACACCACAGAACCACATCTGCAGCTCATAGCTGCCTGCCTCTGTCGTTAAGCATTTCTTCCTTCTCTAAATTGTTAACTGGAATACAGGGCTTCCACGGGGCCATCAAACTTAATTCCAAGCCCCAAACAATTTGCAGCTGGAGACACGGTATGGTGAAGGGCTATCCAGCCAGAATGACTGGGAAAACCCGAGGGCTCACTCATTTTGGCCGGAACATCAGCCCATCTTCATGTCTCTGAAATGGCGGCTGGTAACTTTATCCACACGTGTGTGAACTTTACGCACAGTAGCATTTGCTGCAAGCTAGAAGCATGCCCTGCAGGGACATGGGCTTGGGCAGCTTGGCCACAGGGGTCTTCCACAACTTGACACTTTTATCCAGTTCCTTCAGGCGATGAAATGGGAGAAGATGGGGAGTGTTTGTGAGTGTGTGTGTGTGTACACACGAGCGTGTGTGTGCATTTGGAATCTCGGTACTGAGACTCTGATTAGACTTGGCTGGCCAGCCAGCAAGCCCCAGGGATTCTCCTGTTGCTACTCCCCAGAGTCTGGACTGCAAGTGTTTGCTAGCATTTTACCAACTCAGCTGTCTCCTCTGCCCAGTGGTTAGTGTCAGACATGGAAACATCAGCAGTGAACACATTTACCCCCGGACTATAAGACATCACTTGTATGGAAGTGAAAGCCCTTTGTGGCTAAGATCGCTTGATCCAAAGACAGTGGGTGGACACTGCACCACATACTATCGGTTCTTCCTGTGGTCTAAGGATTCATTTCTCTTCCTCCTCTGGGCCCAGGACTCATCAGCGTGGCAACAATGAGTTGACTGGCATTCTCCTTGATTATACTGTGAGCTTAGGCAGAAGGCTTGGCACATAGCAGGTGCGAGGGGGCGGGGTGTTTGTTGAATGACTGTCTAAAAGTTGGATAAATTTTTCAAGAGACTAAAGCAACCAAGGAGATAGCTGCTAAACAAACTGCATTACAGGTGTGGTGGATCTGTGCCATGAAAGGACAAAGGAGATCTGAGTTTGAGTCTAGCCTGGTCTACACAGTGAGTGCCAGGATAGCCAGGGCTACATCGTGAGACCAGACAGACATTGAACTCACAGAAATCCACCTGCCTCCGCCTCTGTTCTGGGATTAAAGGCATGTGCCACCATGCTCAACTTTTTCTTTTTCCTTTGAAACACTTTACAAAGGGCATTTCCAGGGATGCCCGTGGCTTCCTTCCCAGTCCTGCCTCAAGACTTGGTGTCTGAGAGAGAAAGGACGTGGGTTTGTTGGAATGCGGTTTTCAACGTAGATCTGTCACCTAGCTAGCTGTGTGACCTCAGACAAAATCTATAACCTCTCTGAGCCTCACTTCTGGGTAACCAGGGTATGGCTGAGCAGTTGTACAACTCTTTCTTAGGAAGGCTGTGTTTGGTGTATTTATTGATAAACTTTCTCACAATGTAATTCCTAAATCACTTTGGCTGAGATGCTGCTACATTTTGCACAGGCTCCGTCCTCACTGCGCAGCCAGAACTGGTGAGAATCTTGAACTTTCTGGGCCACTGGGAGGCTTCTGAGACCTTGGGGGTGAAGAGGTGTAGCACCTGACATAGTCTCTATGAAAGTTACTTTCTTGGCCTTGCAGGATGCAGAGCATTTCAGTAGTGAGGCAGAAGGTTGAGAGGGAGTTTGAAGCAGAAGGAGGGGCCAGCAAAGACCAAGGTCGGAGAGTAGGAATGCAAATGAGCTGGGGTTGGATGGGCGTGGCTAGCACAGACGCTACAGCTGCAGACTCAGACAGGGCCTGCGCTAAAGCCCTTGTGGTTCTTGAAGGAGTCTTGCCCTCAGGCTGGAAGACCCCTGAGCTAGGGCCAGGAAGGGAAAGGAAGGCATTCAGCCTTAAGCAGAGCTTCCATCCCTAGCTACAGCTCTGCAGGGCTGGTTGCAGATGAGGACAGGCCTCGAATGGCAGGAGAGGAAGTCTGCTCAGAAGCTGCCAATACAGCGGGGCTGGAAACGCTCCTGTTGACATAATGGGAAAACGGTGTAGGTGTGAAAGCCAGCAGCTGCGCTTGGGGACTTGGGGACTCCTGGCCTGATGAATAATGGAGCAGATCTCCCTCCCTGGCTTGGCTCGCTTTTTCTTTTTTTTGATCCTTTCAATAATTCATGCACTCCCTATTGGGAGAGGAGTTTCATGAAACGCAAGCTTTCTCTGAATCCACAGCTGAGTTGAGTGACTGAGGCTCCGCATGCTAGTTAGGTCTTAATTAGGAACACCCTGCCCCACTCGCACGTGCGTGTCGGCTTTGGCCAGCGAGCTCTGCAAGCATGTGGAAGAAAATGCCCAGTTATGTCCCCGTTAGGGTGAGGGTGGGGCTTCCTGACAGACTCCTCCTGGCCCTAGAGGGTAGGAGGTGGTGACAGATGTCACTTTCAGGTGTCTGTTCTGTCACCCAATTCTCCCTGCCTTTGGGATCATGGAGACAGGTGACATGATATCTTCTGTCACCTGAGCTCCTGTATGTGATAACGAGCAGTAGAACTTACTGGATGACTTTTGATAGACACACGCCTCGGGCAAAAGGCAAGCTGGCTGTTACGGCCACAGAGAGTTTCCTGGTGCCTCTGCATCGCCTTGTGAGCTGATTGCTGTGCTGTAAGCAACGAGGGGATGGGCTGGGAATCCAAACTCCAGGTCACAGTGGTGGCCAGTGGAGATGTGAACCAGTCAGTGACAGATAGGCGGGATAGCTTTTTGGTGTCAAAGACAGAGGAGATCAACACTTATCTGTCAGGCTTATATACGTGTGAGTTGGGGACACATAGGCATGTCTATGTCTGTGGAGATAGAGAGAGGGAGCATGGTCCAGGAAAGGTGGGAGCAGGAGGGCAGATCGGAGCTGAGCGTAAGCTCTAGCTGTCCCCTCGGAGGGATGATTGATAATATCATGAATCCCTATCATTACTCAAGGCAGTCGCACACTAAGGATGTTCTCTGAGTTAGCATAGTTGATTCTAAAAACAAGGCTACCAGCTCAGACATCATCACTTCCTATGGGGAACTGAAGGCTTAAAGAGGTAAATTTCCCCAGAGACAGCCAGATGCCAAAGGAAAACGACAAGTTCGCACCCTGCTTGCACGAGCATCTCATGTGCTGTAGGTGAGAGCAAAACCCACAAGGCCTCAGGTCCCAGGAGCAGATCAGACCAGCAATGCCAGGGAGTGTTCTGAGCCACACAGCTTAGGCTGCGGAAGCAGAGAAGGAATGACAGGGTTACTGGACACAGGGCTTGAGGAATAGCAGGTTTCAAGAAGCAAAAAGCCAGGGCTGTTGATGTGGCCCAGGCAAACACAGTCCTGAGTTTCATTTTTAACACCACATAAATCAGGTATCGTGACGAATATCTATAATTCAACCACTTAGGAGGTGGAGGTAGGAAGATCAGTTCAGGAGTTCGAGGTCATCCTTGGGCACATAATAAATTTGAGCCCATCCTGAACTCTAGGAGACTCATGAAGGAGGAGGAGGAGGAGGAGGAGGAGGAGGAGGAGGAGGAGGAGGAGGAAGAAGGGGAGGGGAAAGGGGAGGGGAAGGCAAATGGGAGGAGGGGAAGGAGGAGAAGGAGGGGGAGGCAGATAGGGACCTAGAAGGTAAGGCTGTGCTGTGTTGCTCACAGTTCTGTTTTGCCTGTGGCGTCTGCTCTGTAAGTGGCTCCCCTTTCCTCCTGACTTAACTTTTCTGGGCCAGGCATGACCTGTGTTCTACAGAGACACTAGTATAATCTCTCCTGCTCTGGCTCTTTCGGACCAAGCCGCATCCCTCCACTCTCCATCAGCCCAGCCTGAGCTGTTTTCCACTCTCCTTCCAGCTTCCCATTCCTCTCCTTCCCCCAGCTCAGCAAGTGCCTTGTTGGGGCTTCAGGCCCAGCAGGCAAAGAAGTGATTTCCTTTCTTGCCCGGGAACATGCTCTCCCTTATTCTCACGGCAGCATCCTGTGGAACCCGGGTGATGACATTGCAGCCTGCATGCCCACCCAGTGACTGCCACAGCAGCGCTCGTTGCCAGCATGGCTGTTCTCCATGTTCTCTGTGTGCTGTGCTCTCTGCTCGCTCAAAGGCCAGCTGTTCAACTTCTGCTCTCCTGCGTCGTCCCCTTGGTAACGAGATGATTGCTTCTAAAACAGTTTCAAGGTCAGGGAAGCCCATACACAAAGTGAAGATGTCTCTCGATTTTGATTACAGAGAAAGTTATAAGGAATAGCTTCAAATACAGGCCCCCGGTGGAGGAGAATAGGCAGGGTCCAGAAAGAAACTTCAGCAGGAGGGGGCGAAGGAGAGCTGTCCGGTCAGCACCTGGACAGCTCCTGACTGGGCTAATGAGTCAGGCAATTGGTAGAGATCTCTGCAGGGAATCATAAACTCCAGACTATTAGTTCTCAACATTCCTAATGTTGTGCCCCTTTAATACAGTTCCTCCTGTTGTGGTGACCTGCCCCCAACCATAAAATTATTTCGTTGCTACTTCATAACTGTTATGTTTGCTAGTTATGAATCATAATGGAAAGAGTTGATATGCAGCTCCCAAGGGCTTG